ACTCTCACATTACAAAGACTGTCACATGTCACTCCGGACTACATTTCCCATGTTCCATTTTACTGATTACATTTTCACCTGCAGCCAATTACACACACTATAAAATCGTCTAAAATAATCTTGCCTTGCCTGTTTTCCCGTGTTTGGACTATAGCCTGTTCTCTAGTTTAGCCTGTTCTCTGCCTGCCCTGTTCGTCCGATGATCACAGCGTCGCGTTCCGTCTCGTGGAGGGGAGCGCAGCTTCACTTCTCTGTCTCTCCGTAACAATCTGCTACATATTAATATAATTTAGAAACCTGTCTCTTATCCTTCAGCTGTTTCAAATAATATCAAGTACAAAGTGTGCTGTTTTTAAAACTTACAAGTTTATTTATTTATTTTTAAAAGGTTTTCAATTTTGTGCATTAATTTATTGTAATAATTCAATTTACTTGAAATGAATAGCTTGTGTGAGAATCTGTTGATGATCCCAGTCAGGGGCGTCATGCACTCATGATTTTTGAGGGGGCACGAGGGGGGGGGAGGGGTTGGGGCTCGTCATGCTTGTCATGTGACACAGCAGCCATATAAACGCTGTATAACTGATATAGGCTTATGTTTAATTTTATTTTTTCCTTTTTATTGGAAATATTTCCAAACGTGTTAACTAGGCTATATCAGAAAATATCTCGATTCTCAAACAAATGCGTTTTGCACCAGATTGTTATTTGATCTATAGCTAATGGGTGATGGGCAAAGTAGAGTAATAGTGTAATCTATTAACTACACATAAAGACCCAACGTTTTACTTAGGCCTAAGTACCAGATATGGGTGACATGCTATAAAATATTTTTAATACGACTGACTTTGTATTTAATGTGAATTTAATAACAAAATTAAGTTACTAACATTTTCATTTTACAGAGAGCAAAGAACATTTACATCATTAAAGAACATTTTCATTTCAGACTAGAAAGAGTTCAGGCACTCTCAAAAACTCCCATTTAAATCACTGAAGCTGTTTACACTGTGAAATGAATATCTTACTTACATTAACGCACATCTGCACTTTGTTGTTTACAGTCAGCGAGCAAGTGAACAAAACACCGCGTTTCAGCGATGACTCATCTGAACGTCTCTGATTGGCCATTGCATTCATAAGCTCAACAGAATCGTGTGTGTGAGATTGGTTATAATGCAGCGCTATACAAACACGTCTGTCTGGCTCAGCGCCAGCCAAAGCACGAACGCAGATTTGAATTTAGCAGCTGATGCTGTGCCGCACTGAACGGTCTCATCACACCGGTGTGATTGTACCAAATATAAAAAATATTATTCGGCTATTTTTTGTCTTTTGGAAGTTGCATTTAAAATCCACTTGGCTCAGAAATCTGAGGGGGCACGTGCCCCCTCACTTTGAATGGGCATGACGCCTCTGATCCCAGTTCTGTCATTTATCATGCTTACAAATGAAATTATGTGTGAAATTTTTTGCCTCAAGATTACTTGCCTCAAAATGAAAGTCATACATTTTTGGGTGAACTATCCCTTTAAGTAAAAATTGGCAAAAAAATGTGTAGGAGATACTTATATGATGTTTATTCTCTCATGTCAAACTGTTGAGATTTTGTATTATTTATATACTTTATTTTATTTTTATTTTTTTGCCTTCAGCTACAGTGTCCTGATGCCATGGCAACAATGGGACCCTTAAAACTGCACCCAAGAGTCTTTTTTCAATAGCACATTAGTAGAACCATCTCTCCATTTAGTTTTCAGACCATCATTTATCCAATGATTGACATTGACGAAGTGTGCACATGCTTGAATTCTAATGGACTCACATCTAAGCACGTACACACCACACACACAGTAGACATTTGCAACTTACGTAATCACAGTGCATTGTCCTATATTTATGTAGATTTCTGTATCCAATCTACTAATTTTGAATAAGGAAAATGAGCTTTCCAGAGAGAATTTCTACTGGACGAGTTGAAAATCCATTCACCTCATCACCATGGAAACACTGTCAGATTCTGAGGACCCCCTTGTTAAGGAGAAGTCGCTATTCCAGCCTGTATACGCTGAAGAATGTGTTAGTGCACACCACTTTCTTTTGTTTATACATGTACTGTAATATCTTAACAACTTCATTTTATGACTTTATTCTCAGAAAAGTCACACTGATTGATTATTTAAAAAAAAACTTAAATATTATAAAATAAAAACAATTTATATAAAAGATATGATTTTGTATAATAGTTTAATCATAAAATGTGTTTTTTTTATTTACTGTCAGATTCTGAGGACCCCCTTGTTAAGGAGAACTCGCTATTCCAGCCTGTATACGCTGAAGAATGTGTTAGTGCACACCACTTTCTTTTGTTTATACATGTACTGTAATATCTTAACAACTTCATTTTATGACTTTATTCTCAGAAAAGTCACACTGATTGATTATTTTAAAAAAACTTAAATATTATAAAATAAAAACAATTTATATAAAATATATGATTTTGTATAATAGTTTAATCATAAAATGTGTTTTTTTTATTTTAAGAACAATTACTGATTTTTATTGTTCACCTTCCCTGTGTCTATCCATCTGTCCAGTTACTAGTGGCTGTTTCATTTAGCGTTTTAGGGTGTGGGTGCAGAAAGTTCAGTTGCTCATATGTTTGAGTTTCTTCCAGACCTGTACGACTCCAGGAGCCGTCAGCACTTTTCTCAGTGTGGGGAACTAATGACTAAAGAGAAGAGGTGACAGGAGAGATGATGAAAGAGCGAGTGAATGAGAGATGTAGGAGGCAGGTGACAGAGGCAGAGTGGGACTGTTGCGGCCTCATGCCTCACTGCCCTTCTGTCTCTGCCCGCTATGAAATGCCACAGCACTCTGCCCTTCCTGTCTGGCACTTCCCCCTCACCTGCTTCGGCTGTCCTCTGCCTTTTTCCCTGCCCTCTGGACAACTGTCATAAATCACTTCTCCAGTCCTGCCTCATGGCTCGACTTGTACTGAGCTCTTAGCCCAAGACCTCGACCCCTGTTTACTTCTTTTAGCCCTGGGTGACAGCGAGTCCCTCCTGCATACATGAGGTCAGTGTTTGAATTATACCAAAGTGTTCAGAGAGGCCCAGGAAGAAATAGGTCTTAGAAAGCATTTCCTGGAATTCTGAAAAACAGGACTGGAACGTCAATATTGCAAGTAAAAACAAATTATATTTCAAGTGATGTTTAGAATCTGATCTTCACGTTCTACTGTAGTCAACTGCTGTTAAAGTTATTATATTCTTTGAATTTTGGCAGTTATCACATTTCAACTTTACATGCATACATACATGCATTATATATATATATAAATTAGAAATATGCTTTGATACAGCACTCTGTGAACAGCCACCCCTTTCAGTAATGACCTTCTGTGACTTACCCTCTTTGTGGTGGGTGTCAATGATTGTCTTCTGGACCATTGCCAAGTCAGCAGTCTTTCCCATTATTGTGGTTTCAAAGAACAAGAGATACCAGGAATTTATACTGTAGGGATGATTTAATGAAACTCAAATGTAAATATTCTAATATTTTGAGATACTGGATTTTTGACTTTAATGAGCTGTGAGCTCTAATCATCAAACTTAAAAAAAAAAAAAACTTTTTAAATTTTTTCTTTTACATGTAATGAATATAGAATATATGAAAGTTTCACTTACCCCCCAAAATTTTTTTTGAAATCTTTTTCACGATATTCAAATTTTTTTGAGATGCACCTGTATATATATATAATGCACACACACTACCAATCAGTATGATTTTTTAAAGAAATTAATACTTTAATTTAGTAAGGATGCATTAAATTGATCAAAATTGACAAGGTAATTATTGAATTCTTTTGAACTTCTCTTTACCACAGTTCCTGAAAAATAAATGTATCATGGCTTTTACAAAAAATAATAAGCAGCACAACTATTTTTTAACATTGATGTTAAAAGCATTAATGATTGAATGTTTTTAAACCATTGATGAAATGTTTCTTAAGGAACAAATCAACAAATTAGAATTATTTTGGAAGGATCATGTGACACTGAAGATGGCTGTTGAAAAATTCAGCTTTGACAAAGGAATAAATTCCATCTTGAATGAGATATATTAAAACAGAAAACAATTTAAATTTTAATAACTTTTCACAATAGTACAGTTTATACTGTATTTTTAAACAAATAAATGAAGCCTTGGTGAACATAACAGACTTCATAAGAACATGAAAATCTGTTGTAAACATACAAATGTTTGACAAGAGAAAAATGCTGGATGTGTTTGTTCTTATTTATTTGAAGTTGGGGGAAAAAAAACAACTTTTCTGCATAATTGTTTCCTGGTTCTTTTGTTTGTTTCTAAAAATATCCAAATCTGTATGTTTTTTTTATTATTATTTTCCCCTCTGAAATGAATTGGTAACAATGAGAACAGGGATTTGTTTTCCCTTGTGCCAAACCACACCCTCAGTATGTGATGTGATGTATATGAGCAGACAGCACTGCAAATATCAATTTCAATTGTAGTTAACGTTTTCTAATATTTCTTTGCAGTAATCAGTCTCAGTGTGTGTCCACTTCCTGCTCTAACAGCAGTGACCAGCAGTGATCCGTTGACCCCCTCAACCTGCTTTTAGAGTCGACTAGAAGGGCTATGACAGGAACTAGAGGGTCTCGACCTCATCTAACCTCTCCGTAATCCGAACACTTCCTGATGCCTCTGGAGGTATTGGCTCGTGTGGGAAACTGTAGCGTCAGAGATTAACCGAGGCGAAAGGAGGAAGAAGAATAGGAAGTGGTGTATTCCAATGGAAGCTCGTTTACATGCATTTTAGATTACTTTGTGCATATTTCATATTACAAGTGTGCCAGCTGTCAAAATGGCGTGCTCATTTTCTGGCATGTAGTAAAGCTAAAGTCTTTGTGGAAGGATTCCCATGCTTAAGTATAGATTTTTTTCTGTGTATGCATATATTATGTTCATGCATGTTAGTATTAAATGTCCCAGTCCACAGTTTTCATGCCACAAGGGAGCGGGTGATGGTGTTGACTGGGCGTCATTTTGTCATGCCGATTATGAGGGGGTTGCTATGTGAGGGTTGAGTTACAGTGGTCCTTTACGACTAGCAGCTGGTGGACGGCACAGTCTGTCTCTGTTGCCTGACTTCACCCGAATCTGCTTAATAAGGGCATCTGTTTGTTTATTTGTTTGATTTTCTCTCCCTATGTAGCAGCATTCATCTTCTCATTAGTCTCTGTGTGCGCTCATATTATTGGCTGTCTCTGTTAGATTTCCATCCGTGATTGAATGGAAGGGGCTGTAGTCCAAGGCTTCAGAATTAATCTCGGCACGGTGGGTCATGTGATTAATTGTGTCCGCGGGCCAGTTGAGGGTGTAACTTATGGCCGAGGATAATCAACACGTTCAAATGCGCCGTGTCCCCGGGGGAAATCTCCATCTTAAAACCATCCGGTGCTCCTCAAAGCAGGGACAAACTACGACAAGTAGTTTTTAAATGCCAGCTTTAATCAATGCGTGTCCTCTGCTCAGCATGCCAGTCGCCGTCTTCTCAGTTAAGCACCTCACTGTCACCTGTGACTGAAAGGTGTGAGGTTTTAATAGGAAAACCTGCTGTGGCTGTCTGCTGTTGTGCAAGTGTGAGTGTACCAACCACCTCTCCTGACCTTGGGCTACTTCTGCTGCCCAGACTCCTGCTTGCTGGTGAGAGACCGTCCTGAAACACATTAAAACACTTTTAATGTGATGAGTAAATGAGATAGGAAACACCAAAAATGTGGTATGCTGGATGAGACGATGTCACTTAGATTGTTTGACCTTTTCTTAAATGACATTATAAAGTATAAGTAGTTCTTTAGAGAGTTCTGCACAATTTTAGCAAAGATGATAATTGGCTGGGACACAAGTGTCAGCTCTGTGCTCGAATTTATTAAACATATAAATTATGTATTGCAAAAAGGCCAGTGCAACATGAATTATGCAGTGTTTATCATTGTAATTAGAACGGATTAGACAGACTGAACTGATGATGATGAGCATAACATGCATTTTCAGAACTTCGTGTCCTACGATGTGTGCGTTCTGTGTGTCTTTAGATGTGCAAATATGAATAGAGTGTTTGTTTAAATGCATACTGTTTTACTTGTCTGCATAGCTCATGAGTAGAATAGGACAGCTATTATCCAGGTCTTCATTTTAAAGCCTTGATTTGAAGTGTCTCAAGGACCTGTCGGGAAACGAGTATTGACGGAATAAAAGAGACAGAAAAGTCTATTTTCTTTCTTTTATTAGAGACCTCAGGGCATGCAAGTTGCTGACACGCCACTTTCTTTCTGACCTTCATGCTCTCTGACCAGGATGGACGTTCTAACAAGAGAAACTTGCCTTTTGGTCATGTGATTCCTACATGCCTTTAATGCACTTGTATTTGTTTTGTTTCTGCTGTCACATGTCATCAAAGACATTAAAGGGGTCATATGATGCTGCTAAAAAGAACATTATTTTGGGTATTTGGTGTAATGAAATGTGTTTATGCGGTTTAAGGTTAAAAAAACACATTATTTTCCACATACTGTACATTATTGTTTCTCCTCTATGCCCCGCCTTTCTGAAACGCGTCGATTTTTACAAAGCTCATCGGTCTAAAAAGCGAGGTGTGCTCTGATTGGCCAGCTATCCAGTGCGTTGTGATTGGCCGAATTCATCAAGCGTGTGACAGAAATGTTACGCCCCTTACCATACTGTGATCCCGTCTCCCAGCAGGACAAGACTCAGTCCAGCTGCTCTGCTCGTGCACATCCCATCATCGGTTCTCTTTTAGCAGTTCAGTCAATGTACTGTTTGGGCGGCGTTATGCAAATCTTCTCACATCGTGACGTAGACATGTGGGGTGTGTTAGAACGAGCCGTTTTAGGTAGGCGTGGTTGACTCTTAACTTTTATAAAGAATATCTCTTTGGATTTGAGACTTTAGTCTTTGCAACTTTACAGATCTTCTTTATGCACCAAGAGCTTGTAACACTCCAAAGAGAAAGGAAAAATTGAAATCGCATCATATGACCCCTTTAAATTTATATTCTGTGCAGTTATCCTCTTGCTTCCCACTATCCTTTTATATCCTTTTTTACTGTAAAATATAAAATTATTATATACCTCTCTCTATATTATTATTATTATTATTATAATAGTATGTATGATATTTTGAATTAACTGAAAATTTTAAGTTTTAGTCATTTTTTCAAGCTTTGACAAGCTTGTCGTTTTTTTATTTCATTTTTAAAATACTTTTATTTAGCTTTAATTCATTTTTATTTTAGTTTTAGTATTTTTGTTTTGTGTAAATTATTTAATTTGCCATGGCAACATTTCTAATTTTAATTTAAAGGGCTAGTTCACCCAATAATGAAAATTACCCCATGATTTACTCATCCTCAAGCCATCCTAGGTGTATATGACTTTCTTCTTTCAGACAAATACAATCGAAGGTATATTAAATAATGTCCTGACTCTTTCAAGGTTTATAGTGGCAGAGAATGGCTGTCTATATTCAGCAGTCCAAAAGAAGTCCAATAAAGTGCGTCCATCCATCATAAAAAAGTGCTCCACATGGCTCCCGGGAGTTTATAAAGGCCTCCTGAAGCGATTCAAGGCATTTTTGTAAGAAAAATATCCATATTTTTTCCAAAACTTTATAAACTGTAATCTCTAGCTTCCACTGACTGTCGTACGCACGTTCACGAGAGAGTGGCGTTCCAGCGGATGGCGTAGGACGTAGCGTAATCTCCAGTGAGAATATGCTAGTCTCATGAGAAATTTTGTTTACAGGAAAGGAAAACCAGTCTCCTCTTGGCTTATACCACATAGTGATGTAGACATGTGGGGGTGTGTTAGAACGAGCCGTTTTAGGTAGGCGTGGTTGACTCTTAACTTTTATAAAGAATATCTCTTTGGATTTGAGACTTTAGTCTTTGCAACTTTACAGATCTTCTTTATGCACCAAGAGCTTGTAACACTCCAAAGAGAAAGGAAAAATTGAAATCGCATCATATGACCCCTTTAAATTTATATTCTGTGCAGTTATCCTCTTGCTTCCCACTATCCTTTTATATCCTTTTTTACTGTAAAATATAAAATTATTATATACCTCTCTCTATATTATTATTATTATTATTATAATAGTATGTATGATATTTTGAATTAACTGAAAATTTTAAGTTTTAGTCATTTTTTCAAGCTTTGACAAGCTTGTCGTTTTTTTATTTCATTTTTAAAATACTTTTATTTAGCTTTAATTCATTTTTATTTTAGTTTTAGTATTTTTGTTTTGTGTAAATTATTTAATTTGCCATGGCAACATTTCTAATTTTAATTTAAAGGGCTAGTTCACCCAATAATGAAAATTACCCCATGATTTACTCATCCTCAAGCCATCCTAGGTGTATATGACTTTCTTCTTTCAGACAAATACAATCGAAGGTATATTAAATAATGTCCTGGCTCTTTCAAGGTTTATAGTGGCAGAGAATGGCTGTCTATATTCAGCAGTCCAAAAGAAGTCCAATAAAGTGCGTCCATCCATCATAAAAAAGTGCTCCACATGGCTCCCGGGAGTTTATAAAGGCCTCCTGAAGCGATTCAAGGCATTTTTGTAAGAAAAATATCCATATTTTTTCCAAAACTTTATAAACTGTAATCTCTAGCTTCCACTGACTGTCGTACGCACGTTCACGAGAGAGTGGCGTTCCAGCGGATGGCGTAGGACGTAGCGTAATCTCCAGTGAGAATATGCTAGTCTCATGAGAAATTTTGTTTACAGGAAAGGAAAACCAGTCTCCTCTTGGCTTATATCGAAATCCTCCGAAATTGTTCTTTACAAATCCTTGTTTTGTACTTCTAATACGTGACCAATGTTTTGTTTTGCTCTCTCCTCTGTGCTTCCTTATTCATCACTTCTCACCGGTGCTTACACTACGCCGACGTCCTACGTCATCCGCCTGGAACGGCGTTCTATTGTGAATGCACGTATGACATTTAGCAGAAGTTAGAGATTACGGTTTATAAAGTTTTAAATATGGATATTTTTCTTACAAAAATGCATCAATTCACTACGTTTTAAATTACTAGGCTATCCCTTTAAGTTAGAGAGAGGGAGAGAAAGAGAGAGAGATTATTCCTGATAAATAACTTATTTCCTTTAAAATATGTATCTGATGTACTTAACACCTCTTTCAGTATGACTCATACAGTATTGTAGTTGCTATATTTAGTATGACTTGATATGATTCATTAGTGAGGCTCAGTTCAATAGCTTAGATGCACATAATTGCTGGGGAAAAGTGCTCTTATTACTTTCAGCTCTATTAGAAAATAAATGTGTTGAGAGTTGAGACAAAGTTATTAGTGCGCTTATTTTCTTTGATATAAAAGTACTGCAAAAAATCCCATCAAATAGCGAAACTCTCAGGCTCCACATAATCTCAGTGATATTTCTGTGTGTGTCCTGGTGTTTGACCTCACTGAAGTGCATCTCTCTTAGTCATGCTTAACCTAAAAAGGTTAATGGGCTCTCCTGTGGGACCGAGGCGCTGGTGCGCTCTCAAACCACTGCCTGGTCGCATTTCATTTTACTCCGTATAGCTTGTGGTTAGGTATTTCCTGCAATATTATAACACATAGAAGATCAATTACTGACTTTTTGTGAGTCACAAAATTCCTTTTGTTGTTTGACAGCACAACAAATAGTTGTTCCGCACACCCAAGAGGTCCATTATAATAATCAATTAATCTCTCTCTACACAATTACAATGGACTCGCTAATCACTCAATTCCATTTCTTAATCGCATGCCTTTTTAAGTGTAGAGCCCCCTCTCCCAATCCCCCATCTCATTTAGTGCTTCAGAGGCCTAAAGGTTAAGGATCTGGGCGTCCTTCAGGCCCATGTGGGCAGGACCCAGGAAGAAATAACGGTTACTGAAATTGCTATCCAACACAAAGCACTCAAATGCAGGTACAAGTAAAAAAGTGTCTGTTGAATGGCAAAAACATTGCTTAATTAGGAAATCAAAGGCACTTACTATTGATCCTATTGTATGTCCTGGTTACCTGAAAGCATATGACTAATAACGTTCTTTTGTCTAATGGCAAAGTGCCCTTTCTAATTAAGCCAGTGCTTTAACTTGGTTAAGGCAGCCAATGGTCAGGCTAACAACGGCTGCCCTTTAGACCTCTGCGGTATCAGATGAGGGTTACTTAAGCAGATTGAGACCGAAAGAAGGTTAGCAGGTAGCCATTGTTATGGCTCTTGTTTAGGTTTGTTGCTTGGGACAGAATGATGCTTTACATGGATTAAAACAGCACTGTTGCATCCCTATGCGTTTGGTTGCAAAACTTAATCTGTGTATCCAGTTCATTTACTGATGGTTATGTGCATGTGTTGGGGATTAAAAAATGTATTGTGCCTTCTCTCCGCTTCTTCACGTCTCCCTCGCTCCTATTCCTGCATGTCTCCCATCCCCCTCTGCCATTAGTAAACACCGGTCACAGAACTCAAATCACAGAATGCTCAATTTTGATCTGATTTGCATTGAGATGTTTTTGTGAGCTGGATGAACCGAGTTGTTTTGTAAATCATCTGACATTGTTTAGATACTCTGAAATCTATTTCCGTGCCATCTGAGAGACGCTCTCTCGCTGTCTGTGTCTCTCGCTCTTTGCTTCTCACCCCCACTTTTGCTCTTCCCGAGCATGTGCACGTCTCTCCCTCTCTCTTTCTCCCTCCCTCTCCCTTGTCTCTCTCTTTTTTCCGCGTATATACATGCACACTTTTCCTCTCTCCTACCTCACACACAACGCTGTCACTTGCCGCTGGCTTCTGTCAGAGTTTCTCTCTGATTGTTTTCAGAACAGAAAGTGCTTCCCGAGGAGCGCGCAGAAACAATGTGCCGCTCCTGACCAACACTGAATGGATTAGCTGGCTATTCAGAGCACTAATGAGATTACAGAGTCACAACAGACATGGGTCCTAGCGGCATGGTACCTTTTGTCGCGCTTCTTGAGGAGTGTTTTCCTTGTCAGTCCCTCAGCACTGGAAATGGCGCTCTGAAAGTGAACGAGGCGGACCCGGCGCAGTCGGATGCCAGGGAATAGACGCGCACAAGCTCACCTATGTTGGTTTCGTGGTGGTAGTGGTGGACAATATGAAGTACCAGAAATACATAACAGTGATGCAGATGGCCATGGGAGTGACAGCCTCCAACAAAGACGACTGCATCCCTCCGAAGAGACAGCTGTGGTGAGTAGAAACTGAACAGTTTGAGAAGTGAGCGAGTGAGTGTGGAATGGGAGGAGAGTGAAGTGTGACGTGCGCCGAGGTTTTGTCAAACACAAAAAGGGAAGAAAAAAGAGATGGAGAAACTGTTGCATTTTAATCTTGGACAGCACAATTAGAGCTGTTATGCTTACTTTTGTTTGAGTTTTTGTTCTTTTCTTCTCTTGAACCCACCTTTTTCATGTCTCATGTCTGAATTTTTTTTTTTTTTTGAATATGTTTTTTTATTTTTGTCTCTTTGATACGTTGTTGTGCTGTAACTCTCTCTCTTCGTACACTGGTGATAGACTGAATTGGTCCTTCCTTGGTATAATAAAAGCTAACATATGGACCAAGAAATAATGTTGTTGAGCCTGAATAGCTGAGTTAGCGATAATAAACCATTACAAAAAGGAATTTAATATTTTTGTAATGATATTTTGCATTTGCATTTGACTTGGTTATTTTTTCATTTTCATTCTCCAGTGCCTCCACGCTGAATGCACTCAGACAGCTTATTAATCACATGGGTGCAGCCACTCAAATCCATTTAACAATTACCTCTCAGTGCATTTGCAACATTCTTCCAAATGAAAGAACAAAATTATCCACATCCTCTGATTTTACAGCGGCATGTGTTCATTATCTTAATGATATTTGTGTGCGCTGGTTGAGTGGATGTTGAAGCTGGTTATTACATTATTATATTACATTTATATTATATTGCATACTGTACCTCTCTATTTTTGTATTATTTTTTTTTTTTACTTATTTTGAATTGTACTTGCTTGTTATATTCAAAGATCAATCAGAACATTTCTGTTCCATCCGAACACCTGCTGACACCCAAACCGGTGGATTGTGATTGCTCACATCTGGTCCTCAGAATTCAGACTCAACCCTGTGTTGTATGTTATGCAAACCCACATTATCATTTAGTATTTTAATGGGGCTAAAATTTAATCTGTTATGGAATGCAATTAGCAAATGAATTCCATTGATGAATGTTTGAGGAAGTGAGGTGAATCTGGAGAAGATAATAGCCTAGTTATAAAAAGCTTCCATTTGGGATACAAATGCATTTCTTTCATGCTGTCCTTACGGCATTTAATCAATTTTATTATAGTGTTCCAGAGATTAAAATATTTAAAATAAATAAATTGATTTGTATATAATATATACATGTTAAGCACTTGTTGTCCAAATAATATATAAACCTTTTATCTTGTCACTTGTGGTCTCCTCAAAAGATTCACAAGGGTGTGTCGTGTGTTGGCACCACCACCTCCCCATCAGCACAGCAGTCACGTGCATTGATAAGGGGGGTGGGTTTTTCATCAGAATTATGTTACATTATTGTCGTGATGGAGGCATCCATCCAACCAGCTAGCCTGCAGTTATTGGCTCTCTGCTGGTTCCTGTTCATACCGTAAGCGCGGCAACCGAATGTGTTGACAGTGGGAGGTGACCGTTGTATTGCACCCTCCCAGATGTCTGTTGCCTCCTGCAAGCCAATGTTCTCCCACCTGCTTAATGATGCATGAACTCACCCAGAAGCATCACACCCCCAAACTGAGTGTTGAGCAGAGTGGATTTTAATTGCAACTTCCAGAAAATATGTTTTGCCTTTAATGATTACATGATCATTGTAGGTACAAAAATAAACCCCAAAACAAGAAACCACCAATCTGCAATTCTAAATTTGATTTAGCCATCATCTACCGGTCCTCAAGTCACTTGAAACTCAAAAGCAAGACTTTATTGTCCAAGGAACAATTTCAGTTTCCAAGGAACGAGTTTGAACCCGAGCCCTTTTTATATTAAACAATGAATGTAGCTCTAGACTATCCAGTGTTACAAAAGTACATGTTTTCCTGTTGGGACACTCAGTCAAACAGTATAATTAAGTGATATGTCATGTGTCACTTGTCTTTTGAAATAAGTGCGCAATGTGGTGAAAAATTGTAGTCCGATTCACACATACACTGAAAATTTCCACTCAGAAATTGCTAGTATATTTCACTAATAATTACAAAGAAGTGGCAAGTAACTTCGAAAAAAAATTTTTTTTACAGTGTGCATGCTGGATGAAGGCGAGCTACAATCACATTATGTGAGGTCTGTTAAAGTCTGATATCACAAAAACCGAAGACAGACAGTAGAGTACATTTTATTGATTGTGTCAGACTGAAATACAACTTTTAAAGTGCGCAAACACTTAAAAAGAGATTCAGAGTGTCAAAACTGACAACGCTGAGCTTCAGTTACTCCACTAGGCACCAGAGAGGAAATCTCAGCACTGATTGACACTGATTGCTCTCCATGTCCTCAACATTGTCATTGTCTCAGAGATGTGTGGTCAGGATAAAATAGCTCTGTTTGTTTTTGACACACACGTTTTCCACTCTGCCGTGAGATTGTAATCTCCTTTCAGATGCTTTATGGCACTGTGGGGGACAGATTACCCTGGGTTTACTGCCTCATCCCTGCCTTACGGCTCTTGCTCCTCTGCCGCCCCACAGCCTCCTCGTGTGGAACGTCTTTTAAGGAGGGTTATGTGTTTGAGGGGTTGTAGGGGGGATTCTGCTTAAAGTTGGCGGTGAGTTGGCCACTGTAATCACATTTGGGATTGATCTATTGGGTAAAGCAGAAAAAAGAGCGGGAAATGTGGAGATTGGGAATTGGATGTAGAGAGTTATTAACACAAACCTTCCTCACAAAACATTAAATGAAGTTAAACATAATTCAAGTGCCCAATTATGATAATTTAGTTAAAGGAATAGATACCCAAAAATGAAAATTTGCTGAAAATTTACTCAATAGATGTTAGCGCCATATTTACTTTTTGACAGGAATGAAAACAAGGCTGTGATGGATAGAAGTACATTACGTTCAATGGATTGTACTGTTCTTTAACAGCATGCCAAATGTACAGTCTTTTAGGGGAAAAAAATTCTATAGGCAAAATCTCTCACAACTCTCATAAAAGAGTTGTGAGTTGTAAAAATGATTTGCTCTAGGAGCACAATAAAGTGTGTGATATTATGAAGACTGTAAATCCTTTACAGCCTTGTTTTTATCCATGTTAAATTCAATATAACATCTAACCTGACTAAGGTCTATATTTATTTTTGGGTGAACTATTTGTTTAAAGTTAATGCAACACAATTTTTCTCTCTATTAGCCATTTGGTTATAGTCAGGATTTTAATCTGTTTAGCTCTACAGCACAACACTGTCCTCTAAAAGTGTCCCACTTTATGACTTTTAAACCTGTACCTTAACTTCTTAGTCATGACTCCTTTAAAAAAACAGCCCACCGGGAGGGATGATAACATAAGGCCTCAGAGTTTTTGCTCCTTGTGGGCTGGCCTGGACGAGTATGACCCCTCTGATCCTTGAGTCAGATCTGCTTTCAGCTGGGCTGACTCATAGTACTCACCATATTGACCTGCAGGATAAAAACAACATGCAGTTGGTCACCAAGCTGAAGCTGCAACCTGAGGGTGTGACACAATGCTTAGTCATAACAGCAGTAAGTGTCCTGTTTCTATAACACTCTTCTACAGGACTATCATGCAAGATGTTCCACAGAAACTAAGTACATTTACATGAACTTTGAAATTTGATTTTAGTCAGACAAAAGTAATAATCTATCTTTTTATTTTACCTGAATCTTGTGAAGTCAGACTAAAATGCTGTCCAGCATGTATACAACCGTTCAAAATGTTTTTGAAAGAAGTCTCTTAGGTTCATTAAGGAAGCTCTTATTTGATTAAAAATACAGTAAATGGTAACATTGTGAATCACCTCTGTTAGAGCATGCCGAGCATGGTGCGAGTGATCACACATCCTCGGCAGTGGGATTTATTTATTTATTTTTGGCATTTTATGTCTTTATTTAGATAGGACAGTAGGTGGACAGGAAGTGAAGTGAGAGAGAGAGAGATGGGGATAGGATCAGGAAAGGTCCGTGAGCCGGGACTCGAACTCGGGACACCCGAAGCGCAACAACGCTACATGTCAACGCACTGCCCACGGGGCCATAGGCACTGACGGCAGTGGGCTATTTTAACATACACAAATGACTATAAATGTGATTCTGCATCAGTATATTGCTATTGATAATGAGGCAGTCAGATTTAGTTTCACCTCATCGTATAAGCATCTTGTGTTGATTCATGGCAGAAAAAGACTGAATGGATTTATTTTCTTTACTCACTTTATTTAAATTTTATTTCTTTAAATATGTTATTAATCTATCTAATTATATGTAGATTTATCTAAATAATTATTTATATTAGGGTTGTCAAGTGATTCAAATTTTTTATCTTATTAATTTCATGATGTGCTGATTAATTAAAGAATAATCCAATATCAGTTTAGGCTGAGAAAATTAACCCCCAAAAGATAACTTGAAGTCATTATTGTGTTAAATGGGGGGAAAAAAAACTGAATAGACATTACAAAAAGTAGAATAGAGAATAGAAAATATAGATTTTTTGGGGTATAGTTACACTGACTGTTCTGAGATGGCGTGAATGCATTTACGCAAATAGAATTACATAAATTATGCTGAGATAAATGGTTTTAAGAAAAATGAAATGATTCTTTATGAAACTAAAAACCCTACCAGCAGGTGGCAGCAAGTCACTTTCTTAATGAGTGAGTCATTCAGTCATTCATTCAACTGATTGGTTCAAACGGTTGATTCATTCAGAAGCAAAGCAAGTGACTGTCTATATGAATTAGTCATTGAATCATTGGTGTACTCATTTTTTTTTTCCAAAACGTGGATTCATTCAGTAACGAAACACCGCGGTGTGTTTAGAAGTTTATATATTATATATAAATTCATATATTATTACATATTTAAAATATAAAATATTATTTACTTTTATGATATTAAATATAGTACAAAAGTAGTATATTAAAAATGCATTATACATCAAATTCATTAATATGGTATTTAATAATATATATTTTTTATAAGTAATATCATTTTAACAAATTATTTAATTGAAAGGTTAATTTTATAAATTCATGCACTATTTATTATATTATTTTATATCTAATAATAATTTATAAAATGAACACTTCAATTAAATGATTTGTTAAATGTGTAATGGGTGTGTGGTACAGTAATCAGTGCTTGCAGGATCTCCCAGTGCCAGTGACCTCTTAAAACACTCACACTGAGCTGGAAGAATTGCTATTTCTAGGCAAGACTTCATGTAACATTCATGAAGCTCACCTCTTAGAGGAGTCGTGAGGAGTGTTTTTCCTTTTGAAGGAAATGCTCTTGTTTGTTGTGAAGTTGAGAGGGGTGGATAAACAGGGCAGACTGCTTAATATTTTAGTGCATTACCCTTAAGGGCCAAGGAAAGGACACTTCAAAATGTAATATTTTCCTGGCCTAAAAATAGCTGCAGCTTAGACATTTTTCACTTTGCACAATAATGCTAGAGCCTCAAAAAGTGTGATAAATGATCAGCATTTTACTGTGCCCTTTTTTACTGTACCCATCTCTGCTCCTGTTTGGGGACCTGCTCTCTGGTCTTGTTTTACTTTACACCTTGTCTTGACCAGACATGATAAAGCAACAAGCGACAAAAGGGTTCTTTTCCATGTTATTCTGAGTTTTAGAAAGCCAGGGCATTTCAAACTTTTTTATGCCAGGGACCCCCAAGTATTAAGAAGCCCCTTTGCAGACCCATTTATAATGTGTGGAAAAATAGTAAGCATCATATTTAGACAACATATTTCCAAAATTCAATGATTAGCTTTTATATGTCTAAAATAAATGATTTAACATTTATATGTTAAAATATTATAGAAATATTTGAGGTAATTGTTAGAATGGTTTTCTAAATACTTGTTATGTGACTACATTATGAGTTTAGTTAAATTCTTACACTCTTGTACTGCAGAGGGTTTAAGCTTCTGCTTAGTACAGTGTGTGAATGAGTCCCCAGAATAACAGACAGTGTGTGTGTGTGAGAGAGAGATGAGAAAAGGGAGAGAGTGAGCTTGGTGGCAACAGAAGCCGGTCCAGATTGAATGCGGTGCTCTTGGGTTTAGTGCAAATCCTCTAGGGATCGTGGGCAGTGTGGAGGTCACAGGAGAGAAGCCCAGCTCTGGTGCTCTGCCTGCCAATCAGAGGGATTCACAGCAGCAAATGGGATCCAAGGCTCTCACTTTGGCCAGACTGCTCTCTGGTTTGGGGAATGAATTGTTGAGTGTGTTCTGCCAGGGAGTGAAAGAGCACATGTATCAGCCTGACCACCATGTAAAAATGAGGAAGTGGACAGAAGGGCCACTGTCACTCAGCCTGTCTGCCCTTTGGGAACAGAAACTGGCTATGGAGGATATGGAGGAAGATGGATCCTGAAAATTCACAATTGGAGTGGCCTATTTGGTCAGGTTTAGTCTTGGGTTTAGCTTTTTTTTCTGTACAAAAAAATTCCCTCTTAAACAGGAATAGAAGTTCTGACACACATGTTCAGTCACCGAACACATTTTATATTATATTTACATGCTGTTAATTTAAATAATGGTGGCGCTGTCTGTGTAAACAAGTGAACAAAAATATGCAATATATATAAAACGTGATATGTCATGGGTGTTAAAAAGATTCTGTCAGGACCAAGGGTTATTTTTGTTTTATTTATTTAGTTTTTTATTCTGTGTATCATCTGAAAAGCAAGTCAATCAAATGCTCATTAATCCGTTAATTTTTTTTGTGGTTTTTATTTTTTAATATTTAATTTTTTCATTTCATTTACTCAGTGTGTCATCAAATAGTGGAAAGCGGGTCAATCTGCTGCCCATAAATCTGATTTTATTAGTTTATTTAATTATTTATTTGAATCTCAGGTATGATATCAGCCAATTATATAGCTTCAGGCAAATATTTGTTTTTATTTTACTGCAAGGCACCTATAGACTCCTGTACAAGATGGATCTTCAGTGCTTTACACTGAGCTTATTTTATAAAGAATATCTCTTTGGATTTGAGACTTTAGTTTTTGCAACTTTACAGATCTTCTTTATGCACCAAGAGCTTGTAACACTCCAAAGAGAAAGGAAAACTTGAAATCGCATCATATGACCCCTTTAAGGATTTCATAATAGAATTCTGCTGTTCTCACTGTGGGTGTGCACTTCAGGCTCTCTTGTCTCTTCAGTTTGACAAGAGACAGCAGCAGGAAAATCAAACTCGAAGGTGATACTCATTCCTAAAGGCCACTGGGGTTACATAAATCACCCAGTGACAGGACTAAAACAAATCCCTCTCTGGCTTTTCCCTAGAGATCACCTGCTTACAGTAGCCCTATGGATTTTAGCCCAAACAGAGAAAAGGTGGGAGAGAGAATTAGTACTCTCAGTCTCTGTGATATTTGGTTTCTAGATACAGATTTTTTTTAGATCACTGAAAAGTAATGGCACACTCCTCCTCATGCATGATTTGGGGTATCGTTCATCTCCTGAGTACAAACCATGCTGGATGCTTTCACGCCCCAAAATGAATTACTTAGGGTTTAGTTTTTTTTTTAAATCCCTTACCGTAAATGTGAGCAACGGTAACAGTGATGCTTGCCTTAGAAAGCACCTCTAATTATGGAGACAGCGATTTTTATGAGAGCATTAAAGCTATCATGGCCAATATATCCCGAGGGTTTAATTGCTCCTTGCACTAATTTACGCTAGCAGACACCTCCTGTGAGAGAAGAGAGATCCATATGTGTGTAAGTGAGAGAAATGCTTCTGGAATCTTTGATGCAGGCACATTATACAAAGTCTAATCTTAACAAAAAAACAGTCAGTCTATCCTAGTGGTGAGTGTAGAGTTACGTAAAACCCTTTTATGATAAGCTTGGATTTTAGTTGGATTAGGGTAATCAGGGACGAGTGACGACACCTAAACTCTGATGTGTATATTTCTTGCTCCATCACGTAAATTGCAGAAGATGTCCCTAATTTACCCTGTGAAATCTTAAGAATATAATATTGCTTGCCTTAAACTAACTCTTTGTTCCTTGCAGTAGCTCAAAAATTAGTCCTGGGTTAGATTCCCTGGGTTAGATGTATGAACTGATAAAACATACATTCTGCTCAAATATTTCCTGTTTGAAAGATGTTTTTAATATCTTTGAATAATGTCTTTTATGCACATCAAGGCTGCATTTATGTAATCATAAATACAGTAAAAACAGTAATATTGTGGAATATTATTGCAATTTAAAAGTACAGTTTTCTATTTTTAGTGTTTTGTAGTGTAATGTATTCATGTGGTGACTAAGCTGAATTTTCAGCAGCCATTACTTCAGTGTCACATGATAATTCAGAAATCATTCTAATATGCTGATTTGAAGAAACGGCTGAAATGTTGAAAAACATTGTGCTGCTTAAGTTTTTGGTGGAAATTGTCATACATTTTTGGCCGGATACAGCTTAAAACTTAAAAGAACAGCATTTATATAAAATAGAAATCTTTTGTAGCATTATACATTTCTTTACTGTCAGTTTTGATGAATTGAATGCATCCTTACTGAATTCAAAGTATTTAAAATTTCTTTAAAAACAGCATACCCTAAACTTTTGAACAGTACCTTGAATCTAAGACGCTGTGGATAAAAGCGTGTAAATGTAGGTAGCATCTGGTCTGACTGGACATTAATAATCCCAGCATGCCGTATGATTATGTGCTAATGTCTCTCCACTGCAGGGTGCCACCTGATTCAGATGCCCCCGCTGCCTCTGCTGCGACGCCACCTGCTGCGGCTGCGAGTCAGGGCAAACCATCACTGCGCAGGATCAAGGGCCGTATCCACAGAAGCAAGAGCCTGGACAGTATAGATCTACTGGACTGCAATGTGAGTCGATACAGTGCATGCAGAGATTATGTCATTCAGTCTCTTGTTTTTCACAGGCAGAGTGAGAACACCTCTTGAGCATGTGCTGAGAGAGTCATCCGCTTAGCTTGACTGTTTTGGGAAGAAATTAGTTACAGTTGCCTCTATATAAATGTCTCTATCACAGCTGTGGTTTTTTTTATTTTCTGGTCTGTAATCCTGATACTGTGATGCAGATCAAATGCATCCTTTGCTGCACGCCAATGTCACCAGTGCCAAATCTGTCTTGACATAACGCTGCATTTCTTTTAAATTGTGGCAAAGTGACACTTAAAGTAGCACTTCATCCAAAAATGAACATTTTGCAATCATTTACCCGCTCCTATGACATTCCAAACCTAAAAGGCGGTTACAAAGAATGGAACTGAGGCCTTTAAACTTAAAGGGGTCAACTTTTCCACAAGTTGGTACATTTACATTTACATTTAGTCATTTAGCAGATGCTTTTATCCAAAGCGACTTACAAATGAGGACAATGGAAGCAATCAAAATCAACAAAAGAGCAATGATATACAAGTGCTATAACAAGTCTCAGTTTGCTTAACGCAGTACACGTAGCAAGGGTTTTTTAAATAATAATAAATAAAAGAAAGCAGATATAATAGAAAAAGAATAGAGCAAGCTAGTGTTAGAGGTCTTTTTTGCTTTTGTTAATTGTATAATAAATGAAAAGAAAACAGATAGAATACAAAAAGATTAGAAAGCAAGTGTTAGTTTTTTTTTCTTCATTAAATGTCTGTAACATACTTTGGTTAAAATTCCTCAATGGTCATGTAAAACAACATCTTTTTACCTTGTCAATAACAGCGAGCCGTTTCAGTGCATGTCTCTTTAAATGCTAATAAGCTACTGCTCACCCCACCCCTCTGTTTTTTGTGTATTTGGTGGTGTATTACCATCAAAAACAAAGCTAATGCACTGCATCCTCAGTTGCTCTGATGTCAGGAGAGAATGAAGACTCTTATGCTCACTTTTACATTTAACTACGAAACGCCTGCCTTGCTTACGAGACATTGTTGTTGCTACAGCTGCTTGAATGAGCAAGGAGAAAATGCCGGACAGCGCACAACTGGCAATGAGTGGAAATATGCCAACATGGGACAGTCCATCAGCAATCATGGGTCATACCGCTCAGAAAATCAAAACGGCTCTATAATTGAGACCGTTTAAGTTTTTTTGGGATTTAAATGTGAATGGATTTTTATCATTGTAGGGTGGTTGTGTCCACACACTAAGAAGTATCCCCTTTGAAGTATGCAAAGGCATCATAAGAGTATTAAATAAGTGGTCCATATGACTTGTGCACTATGTTTTAAGTTTTCTGACATCATTCATATGCTTTGGGTGACATACAGACTGAAATTTAAGTTATTTGCTGGTTGCCCGTCCATGTGGGCTGTAAACGGCTGTGAACAGATCATGGAGTCAATAAATTGAATTTAAGAGCTAAATAATCCAACCTGGGAACTGGGTCAATTGATTCATTATATAATTTGATTCAAAACAAGTTTTTTTTTTTTTTTTAAGTACCAGACAATGCTACTGAACATCCTAAAGAGAGAAATGAATTTCAGTTTAGAATTCAGTGAATAATGTTCCTCACACAAAGCTGTCATGTGACTTGGACAGAAAACTTTGAATGTAGTGTGTTTTATAATTATTTTATGATGCTTTTGCATCCTTTTTAAAGTTTGAAAGCCTCAGTTCAGTGGCAGTTTCATATATACTTCTCCTTTTGTGTGCGGAAAATAGAAAGTCATTCGATTTGGAACAACACTGGGGTGAGTAAATAATGACAGAACATTTATTTTTGGGCGAGCTGTTTCTTTAAAGTAATCTTAAAATAATCCATCTTAACCTGAAAATAACTGTTTGATCATGACTGCATTGTCAGGGTACTCACTGTTTCTGTGTCCCAAGGTGCTGTTAAATATAGATGTAGATGGAAATTCATTCTTCTTCTTCTTCCCTCCAGAGATTTACTTAACACAAACGTCTAATTTTTTATTTCATTTGAGATGTTCACTTGTATCAAAACAAGCAATTTTTTACTCATAGCATAACATAGCACCGCAACTTTCTATAATTTACGGCTACATGTCCAAATTAAATGGAGCAGTGGGGAAAATGGCTTCTGGACATAAACGTACTGACCTCGCTAGTATTAACGGGCCACAGCTCACTGACTCTATCTCGCGCTAGTCCATCAGGTCTGCGTTTCATCAAAGCCCATGAATAGTTAACCGCTTTTATTCAGCATTAGACTATCACCGTGTTCATAGCAATCAGTAACGATTAGTCTGTTTACCTTAAGATCTTCTTATTGATCCAAGACAACAGTAAACACTTCAGTGAAGTGGAGTTCATTTGTAACCCTGCATTGTAGTACTAAATAACGTAAAATGTATTTAGGTGTCGATTTTCATGCATTCGCTATCGTCTTTATCTTCCTTTACTAGCAGAGACATTATCATGATTCTGTGGGGATTACAGACATCAAGACTAACAGTCCCAAGGACCCAGAGCGTCACATTAGGCTGTTTAAATTTCATTAGGCAGCAGAGAAAAATTCATCGGACAGATTTTATTTTTCATGCTTTAGCTCTGAAGTGCAGGCTGACAGACAGCAGCGCAGGAGGTGGCATGTCCCCATTCATATTCCGCACTGCCAGATGATATCAGATTACCTCTTTGATCATGTGATGTGCAAAGCAAAAGTGTGAGTCACGTGAGCATGTGCAAAACTCACTGACGTCAGAGATGTGGAGGAGTGGTGCTGTGCTATTAAGCACCAGAGGCATATGCCAGCGTGTATGTGTTAGTGAACATGTTGTATTTGCATGTGCGAGATCCTACACCATTAACAGATGAGCTGCCAGTAAAAGTGTAGTACATGTGACCCAGAGCATAACACAATTGTTTAATGCGATCCGAGTGGGGTTTCACATGGAGAAAACTTTAAAACATTCCATATGTCGGAGCTGAGTGGTTTATTTTAGTGAGAAATTAGAGGAGTAATCTCACAAATTAAATGGGTAAGCCGCTTGATTCAAGCCCTAAAAACCATGATATCCCTGTGAATCTGTGGTGAGCTGAAAGCCTCTTGCCTGGCCCTGGTCATCTCATGTGCACTCACAAAAGAGAGCCGTGTGGGGGAAGGGGAGGTCTCTCTGGCAGCAATACTGCCAGTTACGGAAATCCAACGTCATGCTAATGTGTCACTAATGCAATGTAATATAGTGTTTTAAGAGAGCTGTGACACAGACGTTAGTTTTAAATCACATTTATGACTCAAAATGACTTTTTATCTTACAACAGAGATGCAGGCATTCACATGCCAGCTCAAACACTGTACCAGGCAGGATTTTCCATTCAAAATTAAATTGAGAATGTCTTTTCAGTTTCTGATTTTGAATGCAGATTTGCTGTTCGAATTTGAATGTAAGGACGTACAATTAAAACTGAAATAAATACGTATGGATGTATTTTTTAACTAGAAAAGCAACGTTTTTAAGACAAACTTAAAATGTTGGCTTGCCGAAGCCTTGAAAGTTTGAAAAAATGTCTAGATCAGGGGTCTCCAACCTTTTTGTGAGTGAGGGCTCCCTGAAGGTATAAAATAATCTCTCTATATATCATTTTTTTAAATATCTTTGATATTATTTTTTTTATGATTCAGTACAGATTATCATAAAAAATGGTGTCTAGAGTAATGAATTAATAAAACTTTAACAATTTAATCAATCTTTTAAAATGTAATCAAATGAAAATCAATTTACAACAAAACATTGCATTTTTATTTTTTTATTTTATTTTATCAGACATGATGCTGCACAACAGAACTGTATAAATTAATAATAATAAAAAATTACTTTGTTGTATGATATGCCTTAAAAATAATATTATTATTACTTTGAGAATTCCATTGTAGTATACAGTAGTAATATATTCAGTCATATAATTTCACGTTAAACCGGACTTTTATTTTGACGGTTTGTCGTGAAGGTCTTTCAGTTAGTTTTAGTTTCAGCGTGTATTTGACGGTATTTCTTCTCAAATGAAACTGCATAACGCTGGTGAAGTGACTCTCAGAGCAGCTCTGACGATGAAGTGCATGTGTTCATGTCCTCATATATTGAGACGCAGACGCTGAAAACACCGCGAGTCACGTGTGTTTGAGTTTATGTATCAGGTGAAACTACTCCACGCATTCACACAGACACACAGAACATGCAGACTTATTAGCGACATGCACTGACTGGTTGCTGTAACATTTATTTCTGTTGTGTGATAGAATGTTAGATTAATCCATTTTGAGTAAAAATGTCCAGAGTTTATCATCATTATTATTAACATAAATGTTATCATAATCTCGATATGATATCATTTATCGCCCGAAGCTAATTTAGGCTATTTATAGAACGTGCTTGGCGGGCGACTCAGAGACTCCATGCGGGCTAACAGGTGCCCTCGGGCACCATGTTGGTGACCACTGGTCTAGATAGATGTCCAGATGTCTAGTTGTCTAGATGGATACACTGTTAGACATTTCAAATGTTTTTTTCAGTAACTTACTGGCAACACTGTTTTTACTGTATTTACTGTAAAAACCCAATTACTGTAAAAACCCCAAATTACTGTAAAAACCCAATTCATCAGTATACTACTGTAATTAATTCATTTTAATATATTTCATTAGATTTTATAATTTTTATGTAGAATTCATTTTATTTTTACCCTACATACTGGCATGCAATTAAAACAGACACAATAATTACAAAATATCAAATTCTTTATTTAAAACATTGCATGTATAACACTTATAAATACAGTCTTCCAATGCTAGAACAGTGCATCTTCATTTCTTCTGTCTTAGGACATTTTGCAGTGCATTATGTTGTATCATCTGGATTTATCCTAACAAAGAATCTTACATATTTTTTACCTTGCTTACTGGTCTT